CCTCCTGCAGAGCTGCTTCTCCTTCCCAGGCTTGTTGGTGGGACCCATTCCTCCTGCAGGGCTGCTGCTCCCTCCAGGCTTGCCAGTGGGACCTGTGTAGTGGGACGTGAGGGTCCCTGCGCCTATGGATAGGAGGCTGCAGAAATGGATGGCTGCTGTGCTGAAGCAGGAGGGACAGGCTTCTGTGCTCCTGGCTCTGCTCTTACAGGAAGAGAAAGTTCTCCCTTGTGAAGTCCTTTGTAAAATGGAGTTTCAGGGACAGCAGTGTGCGAGGAGGGGTGCCGGGTTCTGCAGTGACATCCTGGGATCCTGCGTATGGGCAGGACAGGGCAGTACTCTCTTATGCCTTTTGGGCATTGAGTGTTAGGGCTCTGGATGGCCAGTAAGACAATCAGAGGGCTGGAGCACCTCACCTATGAAAAGGGTTGAGGGAACTGGGCTTGTTTAGCTTGGAGAAAAGAAGGCTCCGGGGAGACCTCGTTGTGACCTTCCAGTACTTGAAGGGAGCGTATGAACACGAGGGGGAACGGCTGTTTGCAAGGGTGGATAGTGATAGAACAAGGGGGAATGGTCTTAAACTGAGACAGAGGAGGTTTAGGTTAGATATTAGGAAGTTTTTCACACAGAGGGTGGTGATGCACTGGAACAGGTTGCCCAAGGAGGTTCTGGATGCCCCATCCCTGGCGGTATTCAAGCCCAGGCTGAAGGTGGCTCTGTGCAGCCTGGTCTGGTGGCTGGCGACCCTGCACAGAGCAGGGGGTTGAAATTAGATGATCGCTGTGGTCCTTGTCAATCCAGGCCATTCTGTGATTTCTGTAGGGCTCAGCTCCTCTCCCAGGGTTACAGCCAACACAGAGCTCTGTGATGCATCTGGGTAGGATTTGTTTTGTTTTTCTACAAATTAAAAGATAGGACCCACAAGGGAGCATCCTTTGACCCTGTTTTTACGACGGGCCAGCTGCTCCCGCAGGTGTGTTCAGAAGGATGAAATCTGCTCGTTCCCACGCAGGAAATCTGCAGTCGCACCAAGCTCGCAGGCTTGCCAGAGCTTGGAGTAAACAGCAAGGCGTGGAGCGCAGCCCAGGGCCCAGCTCCATCATCTCCATGGCTTCGGGGAAAACAGGGCAGGGAGAGCTGGGCGCCGTCCCCGCCTCCCGCATCCGTGGCCCGGCGCCGATCTGAGGGGGCCCGGGGCGGAGCGCGACCCGGCCGGGGGCGCCGAAGCGGCAGCGGAGACACCGGTCTCCATGGCGACGAGGCAGATCACGCGAGATCGCTTCGCGCGATCCCGCGCACGCGTACCCGGAAAAGCAACGCGCCTGCCCGCGGAGGCTCGGCCGTTCCCATTGGCCGGGTGCTACCGAGGGTCACGGCGCCACGGCTGGTGATTGGCTGCTCAGCGCGCAGGCGTGGGTCGGCATGGCGGCACCGGTGCGGAGGAGCGTGGTGTTCGTGACGGGCAACGCTAAGAAGCTGGAGGAGGTGGGGGGCGGTCGCCTGGCGATGAGCGGCCTTGGGGCCCGCGGGCCCGAGCGGAGGCCGGAGAGCGGGATCGGAGGTGGGGCTGAAGGCCGTGCTTCCCCCTTGCCTCCCGTAGGTCACTCAGATCCTCGGGGACTCCTCTCCGTACACGTTGGTGGCGAAGAAAATTGACCGTAAGTTGGTGGGGGGAGGGGGGGGGGACGACGCGGCGCGGCCCGGCCGCCTCCTCTTCAGCGACTGCCCGTGTGTTTCCCCAGTGCCCGAGTACCAGGGGGAGCCGGACGAGATCTCCGTGCAGAAGTGCCGTGAGGCCGCCCGGCAGGTCAGCGCCTCCCGGTTCGCTTCGGCTGTTTGGGGAGGGCGGGGCCTGGCTGCGGCCCTCGCCGCTGCCGTGTCCTTCCTCCGCGGGCAGGCGCTGCCCTTAGACAGCACTGCTGCCGCCCCCATGGTCTCTCGTCCCCACAGCAACGAGCAGACGCGACGTGTCCCTCAGTGCGGCCCTGGCGGCTGTGGGCTGCGGAATTTTCCACCTGTTGGAGCTCGTGCTGGGCACTTCCACTGCTCCGTTAGGGCCAGGGCTGTGCAGCTCTGCTCATTTTGTTGTGTGGGAGGACCTCCCTGCCATCGCTCAGCCCCTGCTGGGGACGCAGTGGGCTGTGTGGTGAGGGCTGACACTGAAGGGAGGGCTTTGATTGCTGCTGAGTTGTTCTTGTTATCTAGGGTGCATGAGACCAGCACTGAGTAGGGAAATGAGTCTGGTAGTACCTTCCTTGAGGCATGATATTGCTTTTGCTGCAGATTCGGGGGCCTGTTATAATAGAGGACACCTGCTTGTGCTTCAATGCCCTGGGGGGACTTCCAGGACCATACATGTAAGTAGATGGGAACCTGCCTTGCTTTTCTCCTCCTAGAGCGAGGAATACAGCTTGGCAGGATGAGCTTCACAGGGAACAGTCCATGCACCAGAGGTAGTAGAGTCAGGGAGGTGCTCTGTGTCCTCTGTTTAATTCTGCATCCTGTGGGCAGGACATGAGGAGTGCTGTAATGCACTGTACAGGACAGGAGAGACAGATCTGAACTGTTGCCTCATGTTCCCAGTCTTGGGTGCCTGCTCTTGCAGCTTGGGAGCTCCACACCAAGCTCTGAGACACCAGGTGTGTCAGGAGTGCTCTTATGTGAGTGTCCCTTAGATTCTCATAAGGGCCTGTTTTGATCCTGTTGGTACAGGATTGTTACATTGCTGTGTATTTCTTCTATTAATGTACGTTCTTAGTTCCTAGGATTATCTTCTGTTGTGATTAACTTTTTCAAACTCTCTGCTAAGCTAATCAGAGTCATAAAAGCAGTGTGCACTACAAATGAGTGTAAAATGTGAACGAGTGGAATCAAGAAATGTATTTTAGCTTGTTCATGCTCGTGAGAACTGGGTTATTTGCACAGAAGTTAAGATTAAATACCCCACCATTGTTTTCCCATTCCCATGTCCCTGTGTCCCATTTAATTTAAGAACTAAGTTTGTTTTCATTTGTAAATAGCCTAGAATGAGGTGATTTGACAGTACATTTAATATGGATTCAGAGAGCTGTGAAAACATAGGCAACAGTGCTTCAAGGATGGTTGTGTTTCTGAGTAATATCAGCAAAAATTTGTCTTTCCTCCTTTTTTTCCCCCTTCAGAAAATGGTTCCTGGAAAAGCTGAAGCCAGAAGGTACTGCCTCTTATAGCACTGTCTGCATGTAACTGTTCTTTCCAGGCTTGGGCTGCCACGCACAAATGTGCCATGGGAATCCTTGCCTGTGCTGTGTGCTGCTGAGTGTGCTCCCCCACCTGGCTGCCTGCTTCATTGCTGGTTCCTTTGTCCAGCTCTGTCCCTTTGTGCTCTCTCTCTTAGACTGTTCTGCTCCCTTCCTCACTGGATGTTGTTTCCCCCAGGAGCTTTGGCATCATCCTTGCGTTGCTGGGTTCCCAGACTTCTGCCCCCGCGGGCTGGTGGCAGGGTGTGTGGGAATTGCCTTTCACAGAGGTAACCTGGAAGACCTGTGATCTCTGGCTTCTATACTGGCATCATCAGCAGGAGTGTTAATCACTGTGATTGACACGGGGCTTTAGTCATTCTGAGGCAATGCACTTCTTTGTTTCTGCTCCCAAATTAATGCGGCTCAGGGATAGGAGGGCTTCAGCCGAAAGCATGGGTTCAGCTTAGCTTTGTTATGCCTGTGGTTCTTCCTCTCCCTCGTCCATGTGAATGCAGAGCACTCCCTTGATCCGTCTCTAGGTGGGTGTCTTGTGCTCTCCTGGAATCACACTGACACCAGGATCCTCTCTGTGTTGCTCAGGCCTATACAAGCTGCTGGCTGGATTTGAGGACAAATCTGCCTATGCTCTTTGCACCTTTGCATTCAGTACTGGAAACCCAGAGGAGCCCGTGAAGCTGTTCAAGGGCCAGACACATGTAGGTGGGGTTGTAATGTGTATTTTGTAATAGCATTGGCTCTGTCAAGGACAGTGTCAGTGAGTGAGGTAACTGCTTGGATTGCAATTGTTAGTTCTCTCGGTCTGGGAGGTGTGGAGGTTAGTGAAGGGGCTGCCAGCAAACAGCACCCTGAGGAGCACTGACTTTGGCACTGCTAATTTTGGTCATGTTTTGGGGGAGTGCTGAGAAATTAGGGCAGCATCAAGTCTTTGGTGGGTGGCCACAACTGTGGCTTTCTGAGTGCCACTTTGCAGCTTGTGTTTCAGATGTGACTGCACCAGCAGTGCTGAGTTACGACTTACAGGGCTCTTTGGCTTTTTCATGGCAGGGGGTAATTGTTGAGCCCAGAGGTCCTCGAGATTTTGGCTGGGATCCCTGCTTTCAGCCTGATGGCTATGACCAGACGTAAGTGGCTTTTTACCTACAGCACTTCATGGGAATTTTAAGAAAAGGAAGGGATTGGGGCTGTGTTTGTTTCTGTACATTGTTTCTGCATACAAGCAGTGCTGGCAACGTGAAGACACTGTTCTGGGTCTAAATAGGGTTACAAAGAAACCCAGCATCAGCATGGGAGTCCTTGATTTTGCCAACATGTATCACTGCTAACATCCCCACTGTGGTTGGGCAGCAAAGCAAGGCAAAGGGGAGGTGTTGGGGACATGTTGCAGCAACTCATCTGCTGAGGACTGCTTTGGTTTCTTCCCACTCCAGCTACGCTGAGCTGCCCAAGGCTGTAAAGAACTCAATCTCACACCGGTACCGTGCGCTGAGCGAGCTCTCTGCCTTCTTCCTTCAGAGCAACCCAACAGAGGCCCCCTCCAATCCCAGCTAGCATCTCCGTGCCCGCAGACACTGGATGCTCTACTTTTCATATACATCCCTGCAAGGTCTCAGTTCGGTCACATGCTTATATTAAAATTGTTCACTGTGTAGCCACGAATACTGTTTGGTTTTTTTTCTTCCCTATTTGTGTTGCTTCAGAAATGCCTGTAGAACCCAGGTGCACGTTAATTAAGGTGCTGAGATCATTGTATGTTTGTGCCTCGCGGGAGGCTTGCAGGCGCTGTTACGTTCGAGGCCTTCCACCATCTTCACGCAGGTTCTGCCGATGAAAACATCAGAGCCGGAGCCGCCTGTTCGCCTGTAGCCGCCCGCCTCTCCGGGCCGGGAGAACGGGCGTTCGGCGCGGCGCCACCGATGCGGGAAGTACCGCCCTTCTTGAGCGGAAGCCAATAGGAAGCAGCCGGAGCGGGGGCAGCAGCCAATCAGCGGCGCGGACGCTGCGCTCAATGGGAGCGCTGCGCGCTCGGATGCCGTCAGTGGGGGCGCGGTACGGGAACACGTGTTCGGGACCGGCCTCGGATCGAACCGAACGGCCGAACCGGGGCCATGGAGCTGCTGCCCCGCAGCCCCAGGGAGTTCGGCTCCGCGCGGTATTGGGACCGGTTCTTCCGACAGCGCGGGCAGCGGCCCTTCGAGTGGTACGGGGCGTTCCCGGAGCTGTGCCCTGTGCTGCTCAAGTACGTGCGGCCCCGCGACAAGGTGAGGCCCGGTTCTCCTCTCCCAGTTTGGCGTGCTTCTTATCGCACTCTGCCGATCCCCCGGTTCCGCCCGGGTTGCTCTCCACATCTGAGCTTTGTTTGTCATTCTCCCCCCCCCCCCCCCCTCCCCTGCCTTGCAACACAGTGCTCCATACTCAGCTGTCAGGCCTTGGCACAAGAAATATGTTTACAGTGTGCTGTAGCAAGAAATCAGAAGATACCAGATGTTGTTCCACTATGGTGTTAAATCATCCAGATAATCCCCAAGTGAGGCAATGTAGGCACGTTGCTTCTGTGCCCACGTACCTTTATGGAATGATTGTTAGGGCCATGGGGAGTATCTGGAGGTGCTATGGATGTGGTTCTTGCTGAGGGCTCCTGGTTAATGTCCCATTGTTGCACTGTGAAACGTTTTGAGATGTGTATGCAGGGCACCCTCACCATCACTGCTCCTCTTGTCCCGCTTCCCAGGTTCTTGTGGTCGGCTGTGGGAACTCGGAGCTGAGCGAGCAGATGTATGACACAGGGATGTGTGAGGACATTGTGAACATTGACATCAGCGACGCTGTGATCCGTCAGATGCAGGAGCGGAGCACGAGCAAGAGGCCAAAGATGAGGTACCTGCAGATGGACATGCTTCACATGGACTTCCCGGATGCCCACTTCCAAGTGGCCCTCGACAAAGGCACGCTGGATGCCATACTCACCGATGATGAGGAGGTCACTCTGGCTAAGGTGGACAGGATGTTTGCTGAGATCAGCCGGGTCCTGCAGGTGGGAGGGCGCTACCTCTGCGTCTCCTTGGCTCAAGCCCATGTGCTGAAGAAAGCAGTGGAATACTTCTCCCAGGAGGGCTGGGTAGTGCGTGTTCATGAAGTGGCCTCCAGCGGGGACAAGCAGCAGTTTGTCCTGCCAGTCTTTGTCTACGTCATGACAAAGTTCAGGAAGATCCCTGGCTCTGCTCTGCAGATCCTGGAGATCTGCTCCGAGGAGCAGGACAAGCCACTGCGATTGGAGAGCACAGAGCGGCTGGTGGAGGCGGTGAAAGACAGGCAGCACTACGCCCTGCTCTGCAGCCAGGTCAGCAAAGCCCCCTGTGGGGAGCAGCTTTCCCTGGATCTGTGCGATAAAGCCAGTGGGAGGCCCCGCTACACACTGCATGTAGTCGACAGCCCTGCGGTGAAACTTTCCCGTGACAATCGCTTCGCCATCTTCATCAGTGAGTACAGCCTTTCCTGCCTGCAAAGAGACAAACTCCGGGAGCTGCTATAGCAGCAGTGGTCCTGGTCTGCTGGAATTGGAGCTGAAGAGGGAAATCATCTGTCCCTGTGTGGTTTGGTTGGGGTTTTACTCACAGAGATTTGTCAAGCTCTGCCAGAAGCCTTGTTAGCTTCCTGTGTGTCTGCAGAGCCTGAGGCTCAGCACAAACCGCAGATAAGTTTTGGGGCTATTGGACACCCCTTTACCATGAGATATGGCTCCTACACAAGCCTGCCCAATTTGAGAAAGGTCCTTTTGATCACTGATTATGCAGCCTTGCTCTAGGCATAAGGCATAAGGCAGTGCTGCCTCCTTGTGAAATCTCTGTACCCTACAGTTCCTCTCCAGAGTGGTTGTGCAGGGGCCAGCACCTGACTGGGGCTCTCCTGACTGCATCCCCCATCTGCAGTCCCGCAGGGCAGAGAAACCGAGTGGCTCTTTGGGACGGAGGAAGGGCGGAGGCAGCTGGCTGCCAGCGCGGGCTTTGGGCGCCTGGTCACCGTGGCCCTGCACAGGGAGCAGCACTACGAGGGCATGGCCAGCATCCAGGCAGAGCTGTCGGGGAAGGTGATGGAGCTGGCCCCGCCGGGCCTCCCTGCCCGGCAACAGGTGAGCTCATTCACTTGGCTTTCTGTCTTTCCCATTGCCCGGGCCAACCCCAGAATGCCAAACACACACACACAAAAAATAAAGGCCATGCCAAAAACTAGAGAGCATCTAGCTCAATCTTTCCACCTTTAACTTCTTCCATCTCTTCTGTCTTTTCTTTCTTGCATAAAGCCCTTCTTGTAAAAGGCCTTCATGTGCTGGCTTGCTGTACCCCAACATAGATCAGGATGAGCCCAGTGTCCTGTGCACTGCGTACAGCTCATCCTGCTGCTCTCCAGATATGTCAGCTTCATCCTACCCCTCCAGACACAGTCCCTATAGCCTAGATGCCACGAGTCTCTGTCCTCCCTGCAGGTGCCCTTCCTGTCTGTGGGAGGGGACATTGGGGTGCGGAAAGTATGGCACTGTGGCACCAGCCCCCTGAGTGGGGAGTTTGTCGTGGAGGACGTCAAGGGGAACGATGCGTGCTACTTCCGTCGCCTCGTCTTCCTCAGCAACAGGAACGTAGTGCAGTCGGAGGCCCGGCTCCTGGCCCCTGCACCTCCCCCAGGTATGCTGAGGAGATGGTTAGGGACAGGGCAGGAGCGAGGGTGACTTTGGGTGGTAGGGAGTGAGATGAATGTGAGGAAGAAGATGAAGAGTCACGCTGGGGCCTGTCTATCTTGTCTCAGTGCAGATGTGGATGGGGTTTTGCTCTCTGCGTTGCTGGTGGGACTTGGGTTTGGGGTGGTCAGTCCCCAGAAAGTACCCCTGGCTCCAGCCTTCTCTCTTTCAGGCCAGAAGAAACGGAAGAAAGACAAGAAGAAGCCTTGCCCTGCGGAGCCTCTTATGGCAATTGACAAGAGCTACCTGTGCTGTGAGCACCACAAGGCCATGGTGGCAGGGCTCTGCCTACTGGGCAGCTCTGACCCCCTGCCAGGTGATGAGGTGGGAAGGGTTTTTCAGCCTGTGAAGCCAGAAGCAGCTTGGGGCAGGCGGGATGTGATGGGCAGAGGGAGTGTGGCAGTCCTGGCAGCTCACCTGGGCTCTGTCCCCTGGCAGGAGCCCCAGTTGCAGTGCTGGTGGTGGGACTTGGTGGCGGCAGCCTGCCCCTCTTCGTCCATGACTACTTCCCGCAGGCCCGTGTGGCTGTAGTGGAGATTGACCCCTCCATGCTGGAGGTGGCCACGCGCTGGTTTGGCTTCTCCCAGGACGACCGGATGCAGGTGCACATTGCTGATGGCCTGGACCACGTGGCCAAGCTTGCAGCTGAAGGTACTGTCTTGCAGAGCTTTAATTCTATTTCCTGTCCTGCCCTCCTACTGGTTTCCAACTCTACCTCTTGCCTCTCCCTGTGCTATCCTGTCCCTCCACAGCAGCCATGTTGTGGGATGGTGTTCCCCATGTTTCTCCAGCACCTCATGCCATGTATCACAAGCTCCAACCTTGACAGGTCCCTGCAGCAAGCAGACTTGTCCTTGTCAGTGTGTGTGCAGGAGACCTTCTATTTGCTGTCTTTCCCCAGTCCAGAAGGTGCTGTCAGAAGAAGCAGCTGGAAGTGGCAGAGGGGGGAGCCTGGCCACTATATTTGCTGCTTCCCCACCCAGTGTGGCTCATCCCTGTGCCATGGAATAATGAGTCCGTGTTCCTTCTTGCAGCCCCAGCTCAGTATGATGCCATCATGTTTGATGTGGACAGTAAAGACCTCACAGTGGGAATGAGCTGTCCACCTCTGGCATTCGTGGAGAAGCCCTTCCTGGAGAAAGTTAAAACCATTCTCAAGCCAGAAGGTATGAGGTGGGCTCTGGTGGCGGTGCGCTTGCAAGAGCCAGGGCTGGGCTGGTTGGTCCTGGACAGGGTCTGGGTGGTGGGTTCCTCATCCTGGAAAGCAGTGGCTGTGCTGCTGTGACTGATGTGTGGCAGCTGCCTTTCCCAGCAAATCCCAGCTCCCAGTGACATGGAGCTGGGCCAAGGGCACTCGTTGTGCTGCCCAAAGCTGCGTGTGAGATGGAGCTGGTAGCACCAGTGGTACTGATACAGCTGTTTGTGTAGAGAGTGGGTGTGCATGGAGGCCTGTGCAGGATGCCAGGCTCATGGGTGGCACTGTCCTGAATGCCTCTTTCTCTACTGCAGGGGTCTTTGTGCTCAACCTGGTGTGCCGTGATGCTCAGCTGAAGGAGTCTGTCCTGGCCACCCTCAGGGAAGTTTTTCCCCTGCTCTATGCACGCCGCATCGATGAGGAGGTCAATGAGATCTTGTTCTGCCAGCCGAACCCCAAGAGCCGGCGGGACCCTGTGGAGCTCACAGTGCTTGCCCAGGCACTGGAGGGGTCAATGCAGCAGTTGGGGCACTCTTGGGACAGTTCGTATGCGCTGGCAGACATGCTGCAGGCCATCACCATCCTCTGAGAGGTGCCTGATGTCACTTGAGCAAAAGGAGTGCCTGCATGGTGCTGCAGCTGGGACATTGTTGACCCTGCAGGGAGCCAGTGCTGGCCTGATGCCTGCCTGAAGGATGCATCTGGCATGGAAGAGGGCTTCCTATAGCAGGAGGGAGCCCAGCGTGCCTCCTGGAGTGCTGAGGCTCTGCTCTTTGCATAAAGCAGAGCTGGGAGAGCAGGGAGCTGCACTGCCCGCAGGACAGTGTTGGGGTGGCGAGGGGAAGAAGGTGCTCCAGGGTTGGCAGGGCTGTGTGTTTGCATCTATCCCCACTGCTTTCCCGTTGTGGTTAAATGTCACTCTGACCATCCTCTTCCCTTCCAGCTCTGCTTCTTTCCCATATTCTTCCACACCTCCAGGAGCTCTGCTTGTTGGCATCTCTGCAAACCCCCAGCTCTGCCCCGAGGCTGGTAGCAGATGTGTATAGATGGGCTGAGTGCTGTGAGAATAAAGCTCAGGACCGCTCTTGAGGTTCACAGTGCTCCACCAGGTTTATTTCTTGCTAGCAGTGATGGGACACTGCAGTCCATTTGGTGGGTGATGCCCCTGCTGCTCTGGGGCATGCCAGCTCCTGCGAGGCTGTGCAGGGAGTTGCTTAGATCTCACGTCCGTTGCTCTCTGCATTATTCTCCTTCACGTAGCGGGACAAGTCAGTGCCCTACTTTCTCCTTTGGCTGGCCTGCTTCTGTGCAGATGCTTTTTTTTTTTCTTTTTTTTTTTTTTTTTTGCAAAGTGCTTTTGATCCTCCCCAGGCACTCAGAGCGCTCGTGAGTGTCAGCGCTCAGATTTGGGCTGGCCAGCTCGCCGCTGCAGACAGATAAGCTGTGACAGCTCTGTGCTGCTTTGTGCTCTGCCCGGGGCTGCACGCAGTCGCTGGTCACTGGCAGGGGCAAGGCTGGAACACAGCTTGTGCAGCAGTCTGTCCGCCCTGCACGGTTCTCCTCTAAATCTCTTTAGTCATTAGCACTTTTTTTTTTTGAAGGATGTCTATTATCCATCCAGCTCAGTGACGGCAAATTTCTCAACTCTTATCAGCAGTGCTGCATTCAGTCTATTTTTAACTCTGTTTCCAATCCTCAACATAATTCCAATGACACAGATTAGCGTGCATGCCCTTTATTTTATCTAAACCATTTCATTTCTTCTCCGGCAGCTCGCACAAAGCGTGCGTTCATCCCTCCTTTGTCCAGTTCTGCATTTCTGCTGCGTTTCCTAATTGCTGTGTAATGCCACATCCTGTTGGAAAAACAAAAGGCATCTATTGGGAAGAAAGTGGTGATGAGACCTCAGTCCGTTGCAGCTGTCCTTGCAGTCACTGACAGCCCTGCAGTGTTGGTCAAGAAATATATTTCAGTTAGAAAACCAGCAAATATCTAATGAGTGCTGCAATTACCTGAAATTCTCTGTAGGTGAAAGCCGAGTAATTGATCGGTAGAAATTCTATCTCAGGGCAGCAAAAAGGGGGTAGATAACGTATATTTTTGGCAGCTGTTTTGCTGAGTGTTTTGGCAGTATACTATGTTTGCATCCTTTACTCTTCACTTCCTTCCTTTACAGCATGGGCATATTGTAAACAGGGGAGCTAGAAGCAAGCGCTTCTGTCACTTAGCAACTCTGATGGTCTTGGAGATGCTGACATCTTTCCTTTCTTGATTTCCCAGCACAAAAAGAAAACACTGTGTAAATTGGGGCATGGCTCAGCCCTGAGTCTGCAGCCAGCCCTGGCTACTGGGGGCTCATCCTGAGCTGATTTCCTCCAGAACTATGTACAGCGAGCCTGGCTCTGCTGGCTGAGGATGCAGGAGGTGTGCTGTTGAGCTGCAGCGAGGGGCTGCTGCTGCTTCCCAGGTGCCCTCAGTGGGAGGCTGCAGGGAAACCTCTGTGCCGGCTGCAGTGCAGCACAGCCTTTCTTGTACTTTCAGTCTATTTGCAGCCTGAGGATCTCCTTTCTAAGCTGTCTTCGCTGGCAGATGCACCACGTGATGCTGGCTGGCATGGTAATGCCAGTGCTGCAAACCTGCAGAGCCAGGCAGTAGTGGAAACCTGGGAGCTCCCCTTGCAGCACAGGCGCCAACCCCACGCCTCCTGCTTCATGCAGATCAGCTGTATGAAAAGCTCCGTAAGACCTTGGGTTTGGAGCTGAGTCAAGGAGAGTGCGAGGAAGGTCCCTGGAGAGATGGGAAAATCATGCATGAAGGAGCGTGCCTCTTCTGAATGTGGCCCGGGGGAGGATGCAACCTTGGCTGCGCTCTGCTGGCGGGGGGAGTGTGCCTGGCTGCTCATTGCAGGCATCTGCGTCTCCTCTGTGGCAGCTCCTATATAACCCTGTTCTCCGTGAAGAGAATTGCGCTGGCGTGCATTTATAAAGCAGCCTGGGGACCTGAACTGAAAGTCCCATTTTAACGTCACGCTGCCTGGTTTGGAAGAGCTGTTAGTGGGTAAGAAACAGCGACAGCTGTGCTCTGAAACCAGGCTTTTCTTCCCATTTATTTTGCTATAAGCTAGGGCAGGACATACTTGCTATCCATAGACTTGATCTGAAATGCACTGGAGGCTCCTGCCAGCTCTGTGAACCTGGGGACCTGAGCAGGTAGTGCTGGAGCTGGTGACATCCAGAGGTGCCACCTCCCTTCCCACCATGCTGGGAGAGCTGGGGCCATGAAGGTCTCATCTCCTTCCTGAGCACAATGTAGGACAAAAGGAAGTGAGAACCAGTGTGGGGCACTGAAGCCTTGTGCTCCTCAGAAAAACAGAGACCTGGAGGTGCCTTCTCTTTCCTTTGCTGGCATCTTGAGCTGTTAGAAAACATGTATCCTTGGCATAGCATGTGCATACATCATGCAAATGTTTGTGCTTTTGCGAGGAAGTGGGAAAGTTACATTCTGACTGCCTCTGTTCTGGGAGAGGGCAGATTTTTCTAAGTGATGGAATCACAGGGTGGGCATGGTCAGCTTAGCCAGAAACAGTGGAAACTTCACGGACTTCAGGGAATAATTTAATCTTTTTCTAGTAATTGATGTTTTCTCATTTATTTTTAACAAGAGGAAGGAAACAAAGACATAAAAGCTACGGGAAAGGACAGGTCCCCAGGTTACCAGTTTCAGGGTAGCACAGCGTTGCCCCCAGGGATCCTGCCATATCCAGTGCTTGTTTCTCTTGCACTGAGGGGGGCCTGGTGCCAGGCTGATCCTTTCCTGACTGTAATGATTTCAGAAGTGATGGGAAACGTGCCTACGCTTGTGCTTGGAGGGTTTTGCCAAAATGTGATGCTGTTGTTCCTGACTCCCAGTAAGAACCCATTGGCTGGAAGAAGGCCAAAAAGCTCTTCTGTTGCCTCCTGGCACAGGCTGCTCAGGCGGGAGCGTGAAAAAAAAAATCATGCTGTTAATTGGCATAATTATGCCAATAACCCCAGGCTTCATCTAGATAGAAAGGAACACAAGGCTTTTCCCAGAAGGGCAGAGACAGAGTAATAATACCTCTTTAGCCCGAGATAAACACAATTCTTCCTCCTTGGATACCAGGCAGCGTCTTCCCTTGCCATGAGGACAAGTTCAGCTCTTACCTTACCCTTTGCATGGAGACGGGCTTCATGATGAGCTGAGGTCTTCATGAAGCTGAAGGGTTGTGTCCGTGCTGGCAGTGTGCCCTCAGCCCCAGCTGTATGCAAGGATGGCTCCAGGCCTTGTGCTGGGCTCAGCTCCTTCTGTGACTCCGTCCATAGCTGTCTGTCTGTACCCCCGGCTAGAAGCAGGCCCACTGAAGGGATTCACTTCTTATGCTCACTGTGAGGTCCAGCCAAGATGTTTTGATCGCACTCCAGACCGTCAGCGCCTGTCAGCGCTTGGATGCTCCCCGTTGTTTTGCTATTCGTGCTGAGCAAGCCCGTGTCTGGCTTAGCACAGAGGATCGCTTCCGTCACTGCAGGGCTCCGCAGCCTTGTCTGGAACGTCTCTGTGTTGTGACGGCTGCCAGTCATCGCAGCTAAATCTCATTGTTATTTGCTGTACCTCCAGCTTGGCCTCACCACACAACTCACCCTGAACCCACTGCACTTCTTTCCCTCTGCGATACGAAGGCAGCCTGTTCCCAAACCCGAGGTTCTCCTCCAACTGCACTATGGGGTAACGTTACACCTCATAACCACCCAGCCCGACGGAACACGCTTCTCCCCGCGGCGCTCATCGCACGGAGCCGGGCACGCGGGCTGTCCGCAGGTTCCCGCCACCGGCTGGGGGGCGGGTCCTCGCGGGGCGGGGGCGGGGCCCCTAAGCAGAGGGCCCGCCTACCAGCCGGGAGCGGACGCGCATGCGCAGTGCGCCGGCCGTTACCTGTCAGCGGAGGCGGCGGGCGGAGGAGTCGGCGGCGGCGGGATGGAGGGGCTCATCCCGCTCGTCAACCGGCTGCAGGACGCCTTCGCGGCGCTGGGCCAGAACTGCCTGCTCGACCTGCCGCAGATCGCGGTGGTGGGAGGGCAGAGCGCCGGCAAGAGCTCTGTGCTGGAGAACTGCGTCTCCAGGTGAGACGGCGGCCGCCCTCTCCCCAGCCCTCCCGTCCCCTCAGCGGCTGCGCGCGCCCCTCCCAACGGTCGCTAACGGTCGCCTCTTCGCGCGCCCCCCGCGGCGCCGCCCCGGCAGGTTGTGTGGGGCGAAGCGGTCGTCGCGGTTCCAGGTTCCAGGCTGGGGGTTTCCCCGGCGGGAACGCGCTCGATGCCCGCGTCGGCTGAAAGGCTGGCGGTGCGGCCGGCGGGCGCCGCTTACGAACGCGGTGAGCGGGAACTCCTTGTGCCGCTCCCGGGTTTCTGCTGCGCTGGGCATGCGGGCTCCTCAAGCGAGGCGTTATGGCGGAGAGGAAAGGCCTCTGTGTGTTTGTGGGGAACGAGGAGGTTCTGGTCCCTGTCACGAAGCCTCGTCTGCGCTGACACCTGCCTGAGAGCAAAGGTCGGTGTGATGATGGCTGTGGGCTGCCGGCTGCCTCTGAGTCTCGCTGTGCTGCTGGAAGGATGAGCTGCTGCTTGGTACTGGGAGCTGCTTCTCACTGCTGCCCTGCCAGAGGGCTCTGCTTCGCGTGAGCTGCAGGCAGAGCTTGTGTGAGTGCAGCGTGCTCCTGCTCACCAACCCAGGAGTCGCAGTATCACAGAATATCCTGAATTGAAAGGGACCCCTAAGGGTCATTGAGTCCAAGCCCGGCCAGAGCAAAAGGTGAAAGTGAAAAGTTGGTGCTGCCTTGTCCCATCTGAAAGGAGGCTGGAACATACTGCACTGAATAGGCCATCTAGCAAGAATTAGGAAGCAAAGCTAAGGACAGTGACCTTTTTCACCTGCGCAGTTGCTTGCTGTGCACCCTGCGGGCACTGCCAGACTCTTCCAAGAGGAGTTCACAGCAGCCTATGAAGCACTGGGGGGTGTTTCTGTCGTGCTGCAGTCTGGAGTATTTCAACCTTGCTCGTGTTGTAGTCCTGTGCAGTAACATTCAGAGACCAGAATCACCCAATCTGTTGTACCTCCATACCTGTAAGCTTTTGCAAAAGTAAATATCAAAAAGCCTTACTTCAAACCTATTTCCATGAGGTTTAAATAGATATGTTTTACTCTTACCTTTTCTCCGTGCTGGGTGAGCACGTGTGGTCAGCAGATGTGCAGTTACTTGCTAAGCTGTGAGAACTTGATTGTGAACCCTCAGAACCAGATGGGCAAGTATCTGTGAGACTGGAGAGCATTTCTGGTTGGCAGATCAGCAGGTAAGATGCAGTTTTTAGTTAGAAAATTCCAGTATTTCCATGATAATAAAGCTCTTATCTGGAAAACAAGTTTATTGTATCTGTGTGTGTCTTAATATGGCTGATTAAGGTAGCATGCCATTGTAGAGACGTGCTGTGCTCATTTATTTTTGTTTGTGGTGCATTGCCTATGATGTGCTCAGCCACAGTGCAAACAGTAATAGTAACACAATTCTCATAGAAATTGTCATCAAAATAGAGCAGTCCAGCATCACTCTGATGTTTGAGCTTTAGCTCTCGTGCATTATTTTTTTCATCATGTGAACTGTTATCGTTAGTGGGTTTTGAAATCTTAGCCTTTAGAGAGACAGCTGAGAAGCTCTCTCAAGAGTGGCTGCAGTTGGTGGCAGGAGGGCACAGGGGTTGGTAGGGTTCTGAACTTTAGGAGCAGGTTGTTTTTTCTCAGCAGCCTGCAGCCACTGGGCTGACGTGCTGGTTTCAGAGCCCTTTGCTTGTGATCTTGTGAAGGACTTAAAGATGACTTTATTTTCCCATACATAGAGAAAACATTTACTTGCTTGCAGGTGGTTTTGGAGTTGCATTTTCCTTATGCAGCCTTACTCTGCATTTCAAGCATCTGGTTAATATCTCACAGGTCTGACTGACCTCAGTGCTTGCATGCAGCAGAGTTCGGTGTGTTTGCCTCTGCAGGAATTGTGTGACAGCCAGAGCCATCCATTTCCTTGAGATTGGTTTGGGACAAGGCTACAGCAGGGCAGCATCAAGGCTCCCAGTACAGCAATTATTGTTGCTATTTGGGTTCACATCCTTTCACGTATTTAGAGAGTTTACTCATCGTTTATTTCTCCTCTGTGTGCAATGAGATCTTCCTTTTTTTGGTACGTAAGGAACTCTGAAGTCCTTGGATGTTATGTTGGGATGAAAATAAGAGACTCAGGAGAACAGCAGAGGACAGCAGCATTTACACTCACGTTAGTCCTTCACGTGCTCCTAACTGGAGCTAGTGGTGCTCGTTGGAGGAAATGGTATTGTCTGAAGAGTAGAGGAAGAACAAATGTTCATACTGCCTGCTTCTGTGCAACAAAAGCAAATGTGCCCATATAGTGCTGGGGCAGTGCTTAAAGCCAAGCTGGTGGGAGAGAGCCTGAGAAGCACAAAGGGAATCCAAGCTCCAGCCCCTCAGTGGGAGCAGGGTACAGGATTGTGACCTGATGTGTTGTTTGTGCTTGTTAAGCGACTTGCTTTGGGTGATAACAAGGTTATTTATATGGAAATTAGGATCAGGAAGCAATTCTTGGGAATTGTATCCGGGTTGAGAGTTTCCCTCTTATTTCACATTGTCAAGATGGGCTTCCAAGATCGCTTGCCATCTGCACCTTTGCTTATCTTGTCAGGGCCTCTTTCTCCAGATTTTCATCAGAGCCTCATTTAATTCTTACAGATAGTGAGGAATTAATAATTAGATTTCAAAGCTGAAAGCTCTTTACTTCCTTCCCTGCCTAATGTAATATAAAATGGATGTGGCCGAATAATTGTTTTATAAGAGACGTGAAGTCCTGATTGTGAGCCTGTCAGTCACAGTCACACAACTGCTTTCATTTGAAGAGCCCGAGGTCTGCTTTTGTCATACAGCTTTGCAGCTTTTTGATCTCAGTCGCTTTGGATAATCTTAGGGCCCCTACGCCGTGTGCAGCTATTTGTTATGAAATGTGTACCACTTTCTGCCTTTTGCATTGCCGTTCTTCGTGTGCTCAGCTCATTCCTGTGCCTTTTGATGGTGAATGTGAAATGCTGAGGCATTAAGGGAAGAGAAGGGGGCTTCAATCCAGCCACTGGAGCAGAGCGTTTCTCCCAGCAGGCATCCTGGGGAGATGGCTTACACGGCTGCAGATATTTTATTCTTTCACTTTTCTGTCATTGACAGAAGCACTTCTTTTTGCAGGAAATTCACCTCTTACATGAAACAGGCACAGAAAAGCCAAGCGGCAGGAGATGCAGGCATCTCCGCGGTGCTCTGCGTTCTTTTTTTAATCTTAAGGACCTTCTGGAAATGAGAAGCAACCCCTCCTTTTCCTGACTAATTAAGCCATTGTACGGCTGCATTGATGGTATTAGTGTAGCTATCAAAACACTCTGGTGTGCTGAAAGCAAGGATTGTTTCTGGGGATTCCATTAAATGGAAACAGTAGCAAATGAGACAGTGGCTCTTTTTGGTTCCTTCCCCAAATTCTTTTATAGATGTAAAGGTTGTTAAACAAACGTGGTATTTAGAAGTGATGTAGATGGCCTAGTTTTGTCCTTAAATAAAAATCTAATGTGAATTGAATGTTCAGTTTTATCCCAGGTCCTGAGAATTGGTATGTGCCAAGTAAAATAAATGTGCAGTTAAAACAGATGTGCAAACAAAGATGCTAATCAGTTTTCTCATATGTAAGGTAAGAATTTGCTTTTAAATATGAGTTGAGGATCCATGTCTCTTATTTCTGGCACTTAAATTTTGTTATTAACACATTTAGTCTGTTTTTAAGAGAAGCTGTGCTCAGTAATGGGGCAGAGCATTGGGAACCCTGGCTCACATCCTGGTGTTTAAGTTCAGCTTATCAAGTGCTTTACAGAGATGCTAATCAGTAATTCTTACTTCTGCTGAAAAGTGTACCTGGGAGATATGCATGGTCTTAATACACAAATAGATAGATAAATGCATGTTAGCAGTGTGATTGTTTGCATGTGCACCTGCAGGCATAGGGAGTGAACTGCTACAGGTTACAGGAGGATGCTGTGCTTTTCTTTGCCTCTGGTCTATGGTGTGACCTCATGCCTTTTTAAGTGTTACCCACGCCTGTATCCTCACGCACGTGCCTCAAGTCTCTACTCTGGAGGTAGGTTTATGATTTGGATTTTTAAAAAATTAATTTATTTTTAACTTCCATCTATTTTTAAAGGAAAATGTGAGCTTATAATCTTTATCTCTGTATGGAATAACTGCAACTGTAGTCTAAAGCTTGCTCTGACACATTTTTCTGCTTCGTGGGATGGCTGCTTTAGATACCATATGACACTAAAGCAGGACATTGGGTTCTGCTTGCAGTAGCTGAGATGTAGCAGGGTTCTGAAGGGCCCCTTGCCAGTGTTCCGTTTAGTCCTTCAGAGAGATCACATTGTGCTTTGGCATCCGTCTGTTAATCATGGAACAAACTGATCTTTTTCTGAAGGATTCACACATTTCCTGCATAACCTCTGCCTAGATTGCAAGCACTGAGGGGCAGAATCCATTTTTGCTTTCTCTGTTTTTTTTAAGCAGTGCATGACAAAGCAAGGCCTTCTGGTGACTGTGAACTCCCCTTGCTCACTGTCCTCATGTGCAGAGACTTACAGGGAGGCTCTTTAATGCTGTGTGTCTGCAGTGTAAATATGCTGAGAGAGGAAGCGAGCATTATTTAAGTGTGACCTTGCATCTTTTTTCTTCAGCAAGTTGCAGTAAGACGAACAAGGCAGCATTATTGAACTTGAGAGGAGCAAATCCCATTTAACTGCATGCTGGGCTTTGATGTACTGCCAAGTACTGTTGTCTGTGATAGCCTCTGGGATGCAAAGGAGACTGTAGCTGGAGATAAGAGAAGTTTTCAACCAAGGCATCTAGCGATAATGTCAGCTTTTGTAATTTGTTTGAGAAAGTCATGCTTAAATCAATACCTAGCAGAGTATTTCTGCATCCCCTAACTTCTGTGCAAGCTTCTATCCTTCAAAGATGTAGGAGTTCTACTACTTGCTGTAACACA